GGGCGACAGAGAGGGAGGGCCTCTGCTGTGGCTATGGTCCCGATCTCTTCTCAAGAACCTGGTTCCGGAGGAGCAGATGAGTCGCTCACGGGGGAAAAGGGCGTCCTTCTCTGTCCTCGGTGCGTCCTTGAGGAACTGGACCAAACCTGGGAGGAGGCTGGCCTCCTGGGGACGGTCACCCCACTCCTACCACCGCGACCCCGAGAGCCCCATCCAGAGATGGCCAAGGAGGCGCGCGCCGCCGCAGAGCACGCTGCCAGGGAGCCGTCCTGGCTGGAGGACAAGAGGGTAAGTCTCTGGGTGACGAGGACCCTCTGACCCACACACGTCACAGTATGAACAAGACTTTCCCAGGTTAACTCAGAGGGGGATGCCCTGGGAGGAGGAGCTGTCTTCATGCACAGGAACCGTCACCAGCCCTGAAGCTCACTGATGGCCTCCCGTGCCCCGCCGCGGGGACCCACCTGCCCTTCCTCCTTGCACAGGGCTGAGCGGCATCTGCTCATCTCGGTGACGGTGACGTTTCCGAGTGGCGCTTGTTTTACACACACACACACACACACATTCATTCACAAACTCTAATGAGACGTGCAGGAGGGACTCTGGGGAGCGCCGGTTCTCCCCAGTCCCGCGCCCTTGGCCTGGAAGGGCAAACGCGGGCGTTTTCTTCCATTCTACCTTCTAGATCCGTGTGGAGAGGACTGTGCTGTCTGCCCTCACAGACCTTCACCGGAAAACACAGCCGTCTGCCTTCTCAAACCACGCCTGGCTCGCTTTGCACCCTGATGGGGGCTCCTGGCTACTGCCATGGGGGTGACCCCACGGTCCCCAACTCCACCAGCTGGATGGGTGGTCTTGCCAGGTTTCCTATCAGCAGTCTCAACAGGGACCGTTTCAAATGACATCCCTTCCTCCAGCTCCTGCCCACACTCTTCCCTCAATCATACAGGAGTCCTGGTTTCCAATGTCACACAGAAAAATGGCACTTCACCAGCTTGGACAGGAACTTCCGAAACCATGAGCCAAAACAGACCTTTTCTCCTTTTCAGTTGCGTATCTCAGGTGTTTTGTCACAGTGATGGGGAGCTGACCAACACAGCCCCGTCAATGCATGCTTTGGTCTTTGTGTGAAAGAGAACGAAGCCTTCCATCTTGTCTAGGTCCCTGTTGTCTGGTCTACGTGAAAGCGGCCCAGTCAATACATTAATTAAGATGTTTATCTAGTGGGAATGCCAATGAGTACAACCATTATGGAAAACAGTATGGAGATTCCCCCCAAATTAAAAATAGAACTGCAGTGTGATCCAGCAATCCTGCTCCTGCGGACACAATTCAGTTAGTATCTCAAAGAGGTATCTGCACTCCCAGGTCCTGAGTAGCCAAGATGTGGGATCGACCTAAGTGGATAAGAAAATCTGGCACCCACACCCAGAGAAATACCATTCAGCCCAAGAAAAAGAAGGAAACGCAGTCACGGGTGACAGTACGGCTGAGCCTGGGGGACGCTGTGCCGTGTGAAATAAGCCGGGCCCCCGTCGGGACTCCACGGGACCTCGCTCAGGTGTGGGGTCTGAAGATGTCGATCTCAGAAGCGGAGAGCAGGGGGTTGACAGGGGCTGGGGCCCGGTGGCTGAGGATGGTCCCAGGATACGACTCCCATGGGACGGGAGGACGAGGGGAGGGGACCCTGCGTTCAACAGTGACCACGGCTCGCGACACACAGTGCACTCGGAAACTGCCGAGGGAGATGTTGAGTTTTCTCACTGCAAAAAAAAAAAAAATATGGTAAATACGAGAGGGGACTCGTGGCCAGCCACCCCACAGTGTGCTCGCTGCCGGTCGCACTCCGTAATGTGTGCAGCTTTTATTTGACAACAAAATTCAGTAAGTGATGATTTCCCCAAAGCGACTGCCCGCTGCGTCTCCTCCCCAGGCCCACTGACCGGCTCGCCCCAGGCAGAAGGCCTCCTCCCCTGGGCCCCGGCTGACACACGTCCTGCTGTCCAGGGTGTCCTGCGGCACACGACTTCCCACCCTGGCCTCCATGCTCCTCACTGTCTCCCCTGCTGCCACCTCCCCCTGGGATCTCTCGAGGACCTTCCCAGGGCCGCTCTCTGCCACTCTGTGCCACCCCCCGAGACGATGGCTCTGGCTGGATTAAGCCGACGGAACCTGTGAGAAGGACGCGGAGCGGCTGGCGGCACCGCGGGGAAAGGGTAGAGAGGGACAGCAGGCGTGGCCACCGGCCCTGCCCCGTGCCCAGCTCAGGCCATTTAAGGTTTTGTGTCAAGATCAAGATTTGGGGGGAGCATCTGGCGGATCAAACTTGTATCAGCCCTCGGCGGGGCAGGGGGCAGCGTTCAGGCCGGGACGGATTCCTAAACGTGCTGGCGCACAGTGTCCGAGGACAGAGCCATCGACACCAGGAGGGGCAAATGAGGGGGGTCACTCAGGTCCAGCCCGGCTGCCCAGAGCTCCGCTCTGTATGGAGTCGTCTCAGAACTGCGTTGACAGGGACAAGCAGAAGCCGAGCCCCTGTCACCTGAGCCACCCCACAGCACCCGGTTTCCATCGGGGATCTGAGGGCGAGCTTGCTCCTCCTCCTTCCACCCAAGCCCATCTCCACCGAGGCCCACCGTGGCTGGCAGGTCAGTTGCTACCAGGACGTGTGCCCCACGCAACATGAAGCAGAGGAAGGAGGCAGACGCGTCTCACACCTACCTGCGCACAGTCCCGTCCTGCCCTGGGACAGCGTCTCCTGTAGCTCCTACTTCCACGCTGGCCTGGTGACTCAGGTCTCCTTCCGGGGAGACCTGTGGTCATGTCGTCCTCCTACCCGGACAAAGTTGTCCCCTGGATGGGACATTCTTGGGGCAGTGTTTTGTAGCTGTAAACATTTGAAGGGTCTGGACATGACTGAAATTTGGAAGAAATATTGGTAATAAGAAAAGACAAGACTGGAAATTGAAATTAATCATAGCGTCCCAAGCAAAACAATAAAACTCTCTTCAAAAATTCAGTCGTAGGGACCTGGGGACAGCTGAGTGGCAGGGTGCTGGCCCCGCACGTAGAAGGCCCTGGTTGGCCGCAGCACAGCACACACTCACTGCAGTAAAGAAGTGTCATGGATGGGCGCCTTTGAATGTGGCGGAGGCAGTGGAGGTGGTGGAGCCTCCTGGGCTGAGTGGCCAGGGCCTGCAGAGCCAGGGACGGCTCTCTACGGCACGGAGCTCGGAGGCCCAGCTCCAGACGAGGTCTTGCCCCTGAGCAGCAGCGGCCTCCTTCCCTCGACGGCGTTGGCCACTTCAGCCAACGTTACAAACCTGCGCATCCCGGGCCTCACGTTAGGAGTCTGGTCGGAGTCTCAGGGTGGCTGCCTCCTTGTGTCCTTGGGAGACTCCAAGGCAGTCGGCAGGTGGCAGAAGGGACAGGAAGAGAACCACAGAGAGTCAGAGGGTGGAAGAAGAGCCACCTGCACCACAGGGTCCCCAGGCACGCCTCCGTCTGCTCCAGGGAGAAGGGCGCCGAGCTGGTCATTCCTGCCTCCTGCACAGACCTGACCTGAGCTCCCGGAGAGTGCTCCTCAGCACCGAATCAGAGATGGAGAGACAGACAGGCAGACAGGCAGACAGGCAGACAGACTGAGCCGTTTTAAGGAGTAAACTCACGTGACTACGGAGGTTGACAAGTCCCAAGGTCAAAAGCTGGAGACCCAAGGTCACGCTCCAGGCCAGCTCCTCAGGCCTGGGCGCCAAGAGGCCCAGGAAGAGCTGAGGCTTCGGTCTGAGTCTGAAGGCAGGAGGAAGGCCAGCAGGCCAGCAGGAGGGGTCACTCTCACTCTCACGAGGGTCAGCATTTCACTCTCTTCCGGGGAAGTCCCGATCTGTTTGACTCCCTCTGCCGATGTAAATGCTAATGTCATTCCCCCAAACACTCAGAATAATGTTGGACCCAATATCTGGGCACCCCAAGGCCCAGTCAAGTTGATGCACTCTATTAACCACAGCATCCTCCCAAACCAGTGCCTGTGGGGTCTGGTGAGACCCATGCCTCTCAGTGGGTCTTAAGTGCTGAGGGTCAGAGCCTCTGCCCTCTAGCCTGGTCCCGCTGAAGGGTCTACTGTAGTTCTCTGGCCCCCTCCAATCTGGTGGCTTTCTTGTGTCACCCAGTATGTGGGGCAGAATATGTCCTCTGGATGCAGCATATGTGGCCTCCAAATCCAATGGCCTCCTGATCATGTGCCTTTCTCATCTAATGCCAGGTGACCCCAAGTGCAGCAGCTGGCCTTTAAGTTTGGAGGGAAGGTCCTAGTACACTCCAGGCCTCCAGAGCCCCAGAGAGTTCCCAGAAACAGCGTCCTTTGCACCTTCAGGGGAGTTAACCTCACCCGGATGCCAAGTTTCCCCCAGTCCCCATCTACACAGAGTCCTTTTGCTGAGTTGACACATGATCCTTGCCCATATTTTTGAGGTGCATTGCGATTTTTCATACCTGTGAACAATGTGTAAAGAGGAAATCGGGGTAAATAACACGTCCACATCTGGAACTCCTTGCACTGGGAAACTCTGGGCCACTGCTGTTCCCCGTCATCGATGAGTTCCAGGTGAGCGGGGCTCGGGAACACAGGGTGCGGGGACTATATTACCCGGCACCCTTACGGGAAGAGAAAGAACGGAAAATGCATTGGGAACAGGAGAAGAATCAGCTCAGCGACTTTACCCTCGGAGCCGAGATGTGAACGCACCACGTCCGCGGGCCTTGTGGGAAGCCCGGTGTTTTGTCCACTGACTTTGGCTAATGAGGGTAATGAACTTGGAAGCTGAGCAGAATGCCTGCCTGGGCAGCTCCTCCAGTTTCCCGGTGCTTCTTTTCATGTGGTCTGTTTCCTGGTGGTAATCACATTTGTTTACCTTGAAAATGAGAGGAGACACTTTTATGGCCCAACGTCTCCATGGTGCTCACAAAGCTCCGCGGGCCCTTCCTGCCAGGGAGGAGCGGGGAGGCGGGGAGGGGGCCATACTTCAGTCAGAGCACGCCAAGGGCCAGATTTATTCTCCCTCCTGTTCTCCAGAGCACTCCTCTCATCAGGATGCGGAGGCCGAGGCCCAGAGGAGGAGCGGCTCTGCTACCCTGAGTGCCGTCTGGGCTTCCAGATCAGGAGATGGAGCTTTAACCCCTGTGTCCTCTGCCAGCAGGTAATGCACCTGCAGTTTTCACGTTCTGACTTATTTATTTTTCTTGTACCGGGGATTGAACTCAGGGGCACTTGGCCACTGAGCCCCATCCCCAGCCCTATTTCATATTTTATTTAGAGACAGGGTCTCACGGAGCTGCTTAGCACCTCACTAAATCGCTGAGGCTGGCCTTGAACCCACGATCCTCCTGCCTCAGCCTCCCAAGCTGCTGGAATGACAGGCGGGTGCCACCACGCTGGGCTCAAGTTCTAATTTTTAATCTACAGGTTCAGGAGTAGTTGCCCTTCTTGAAATAGTTGAGGTTTCAGTGAGTGACTGTGTGTTGAACGTGTCTCCACCTTCGTCGTGAGACTGTTCCTATCACACAAAGAGAGAAAGGGAAACACGAAACACCTGCTGTTTTGAAGACCAGAGTTCTAATATCATGGAACCACCAGCTAGCTGGTTGCTTCCCAGGAGAAACAGAAACACCAGCAAGAACGTTCTCCACCGCCAGCTGCCCAGCACAAGCGGCAGCCGTGTCCCGTGGCCCCTGAGTTTGTGAGGAGGGTATTCTGGGATGGGAGGGCTGTAAGACGTGAATTTTCACGATGAGAACCTGTTGAGAGATTGTGATAAAAACCGATGGCTTGCTTGACTTTTCTGCTTGAATCTTTCCTGAAAGGTTTGTGCGGGTCGCATCTGAGGCCCTTTGGAGGTCTGAGGGATTCTGGTTTCTAAAACAGTGTATAGCTGAGCCCACAGATAAGGTTCCCATGGAAAACAGAGAGTGGCCAGCAAGGGTGGATTTTAAGAGCAGCTGGAAGGGGATCGTGTTTCTTAAAGGGGGGACAGGCCACCTTTTTTAGACCATTCTTCTTAGAAAAGAATCAAGCGGACAATCCCCTGTTTCCAACTGGAGATTCTGGCACATGAGCCTCCGCGATCGCATGGCAACGTGGCTATAATTCTTCCCACTTTGGGCTCTTTCTCATGTTGGGAAAAAAAGTTTAAGAACAGAAAGGACAGAAAGATGGCCAGTTAGTCTGATTAGTCGGGGCCATTAGAGAAGAATATTCTCCTAAAGAAGAAAAGCTGCTGGCAGATTGGGGCTGCTCACGGCAACGGCGTCCCCAGCCATCCTGGGCACAGAGAAGCAGACCCTGGACAAGCAAAGGGAGTTAAAGACGACCCAGGGACGAGGACACCAGACATTTGCTTTAAAACCTATGGGAAAGTACCAGAGACTCTTTACAGTGGAAAATGCCCCACATACAAATGGTATCATGATCTTTTATGGAATGATAGCCCTCCCTTCCCTCATTGCTACCGCGAGGCAAATTCCAGACGTCACTGCATCAGTGCAGAGTTCCGTATCTACCTCTCGAAGGAAAGGACTCCAACAAAGCAAAAATCCCACAAAAGGTTATTATTACCAAAAAATTAACAAGAATTCCCCGGATTAGCTGGGTGCAGTGGCACTGCCTGTGATCCCCGCAACTTGGGAGGCCAAGTTCAAGGTCAACCTGAGCAACTCAGTAGGACCTTGTCTGAAAACCAAAGGCTGTGGCTGGGGCTCAGTGGCAGGGTGCTCGCCCAGCACGTGTGAGGCACTGGGCTGGATTCTCAGCATCAAATACAAATCAATAAAATAAGGGTCCATTGACAACTAAATATAGATATATAAAGGGCCTGGATATGGCTCAGTGGTAGAATACTCCTGGGTTCAACCCCCAGTACCACAAAAAAGAAAAAATTTAAAAAAAGAATCAGGGCTCAAATTTTACTGCTTACTTGAATCAGAATTTTCAGATGAGGTTCTGACATTGCAAACGGGCTCTTCAACATGATTTTTTGGGGGGTGGGGCTGGGGCATTTGGGGTGTTTGTGTAAAAACTCTGCATGGATGCACAGCAGGGGTCTTGGGTGACTGGGTCAGAGGTGAGATGGCTCTGGGGCTTGAAGGTGGCAGAGGCGGTGGCTTCAGCGGAGTAGCTGGGGGTCTCCTCTCTCTCCTGGACAAAGCTGAACCGTGGTTGGCTTCTTCTTGGACCAGGGCCTGGAGGAGGGTCCTCCCTCTAGAGATGGGAACCAGACACACGGCCCAGACCCAGCTGTGGCCTTGCCTGGCCACCTTGCAGGCCACGGCATGGCTCCTGCCTGTCTTGTCCCCAAGAGCGCTGCCTCCAGGAGGTGGCACATGCACAGCGGCGGCTGCTTCCTTGGGGCCTTGCTGTCCCAAGGCCACAGGGGTCCTGCGCAGGCTCGCTGGCCAGTGGGTCTCCTCCCTCGCAGGTGGGTGATCCAAACTGCATCCTGAGGGCCAGCCAAGAAGAGCAGGGGCCTCGCATTCCTAAGGGGCAGTGGAAGACAGCACCTCCTCCCCAGGGTGGCTCTCCACGCCCCTGACCAGGTAGTGGCCTGGCGGCTCGGCCTGGTGGCCGCACTCTCCCAAACCATTTTCTTGGAAAGTGGATGCCCTCTCTATCTCTCGTCACTTATGGCTGGGTTTGCCATTCCCAGTTGAGAGCCGGTGGCCGTGACTGGGGCGTGGTGATGGCACCATGTCCAGGACAAGGGCTCGGATCCCCACCTCCTACCCCCGGGGCAGCTGCTGAGCTCCCGGCCTCGGCTTCCTCATCCCGTGGAGGGATTTGAGGAGGGTGGACGGGGTTAGAGCATGGAGAGGGCCTGGTCACGGGGCCGAGGAGCCGGCTGCTGGGACCTGTGGCCTGCCCGGTCATGCACTTCCTTCTGCTGGAGCCAAACTCACGGACTTTGCCGGACACCCTGACGTGTCCACCCAAGCCCCGACCTCGAGGCCGACTGTCTTCCCTGTTCCTGTCTCAGCCGCTGGCTTCCCTCAGTGGTCAGCACCGGGAAGTCTCGTCTGGGCTGGAGGGTAGCTCTGGGTAGAGCACAAGCCAGGCATGGGCCAGGCCCGGGCTCCGCCCCAGCGCTGCAGAAAGCCCAAACGGGCAACCCACCACCCTCCGTTATCTGCAGTTCTTCTCTCTCTTTCCTTGGCCCATCACAACAGCCCCCTCACGGACGTTTTCATCTGCAGCGTGAACTGCTGTCCCACGTCCCCCGGCCCTGGCTCACCGGCACCTCTCTCGTGGCTATTTCACAGCTCTGTGTGCCTGGGTGGCCATCGTCCACTAGAGATGCAGTTTGCCAATTTATTTATCTCAGCATTCCCGACGTCGGTACCACGGATTCCCTGAAATCGAAAAAACTTCTCACGTTGAACGGGTTTGTGTGGTGTGTAGGGGACAGGAACTTGGGTATTCCGCTGGACACAGTCGAAAGAGCCATGGAAGGACCAATTCTAAATGTCTATGCTCCTTTATAGAAATGACCTCTTGGAGTATTCTCAGGAAAGATGAGCTGTTCTAGACGTCGACTCAAAGAGTATGCAGGGCACGCGGCTCTACACCATCCCGCGACGGGGTCCAGGGGCAGGAACCCGGGAGCCGGTGGCTCTGTGCTGTTCCCCGTAAGGACGACTGTAACCTGTTTGCTTTGCTGCCTGTTGATGGACGTTCGGCTCTTCCCAGGTTTTCACAGTGGAGGACGACCTCTGTGTGTCTCCTGCTCCGGGGCCAAGGCGCCTCCAGGTTCTGCTGGAGTGGGGGGCTGCACAGTAGGACGTTTTAAATGTCCCTGGCTGTGTTCAACGGTCCCCGGTGCTTGTCCCGCTGCGGGGTCAGTCCTGCCCCAGTGCCGGTGCCCTGGTCCGCCACATCCTTGCCCGTGACAGGCTCCCTTAGGTCAGGACCTTCCGTGACCAGGCACTGTGCGGGGTCAACCCAATGGGAGGACGCCTCTTCCCAGGACTCACGGGGGGGACGAGGGACTCCGATGACTTTCCGTGACACCCGTGTGTGGGGTTCCCTCTTCCCCCTTTCCCATCCTGGGTCCTCCCCAGGAAGCCACCCATTCCCTGGACTCTGGAAAGGTCGGACTCGTGGGGAAGACAGCTGGCTGCCCCTCACTGGGACAGTCCCCGAGACCGGTGAGTGGGGGACACTAGGCTCCATGAGGACAGAAACCCGTGCCCCCTTCTGGTGGCACCTCGGGCTCCATCTGGGAGCTGCGTGGGCTTGAGGGGCACCGGGAGCCACCCAGCACGGCCTCGGTCACAGGGAGTGACATTTCTCTCTGTCTAGGACATTGGCCCAGGACAGGAAGGGCACTGGCCCCCGCTGGCTGGGCAGGACGGGGCTCAGAGTCAAACTGAAGAAAAAAAGGAAGCGGAGACCTGGGCGCCTGCAGGCGGGTGAGGCGCTCCGAGAGGGGCTCCCCAAGGTCAGGGTGGGCTCTGGACAGGAGGGCAGTGGCCACAGTGGGGTCGGACTCAGCCCTGGGCTCAGGGAGGACGGGGCGCAGGGAACCCCGAGGCAGGCAGCTGCAGGGCGAGGCGAGTGGAGGGAGTGGAACTCGCCGGCTCCTGTCCACGGTTTGTTCCCTCCCCGGGCAGATTCGCATCCGTGAAAGGTCCTCGGGGCTGCGGTGGGACAGCAGGAGAGCGAGCCTGGGGCCACCGTGAAAGCGACAGAGGCAGTGGCACCTGGGCCAGGGCCGTAGCCCGGGGACAGGGGCCGCCTGTGGTTAGGGGTGGGGGAGGAGAAGCCCGGGGAGCGGCCACCCGGCTGGGAGCTGCCAGCCTCTGACGGCAGGGCGCAAGGGGAGGGTCCCCGTCTGAAGCCCAGGAGTGGGACTGGGCGCTGACC